TAAGATTCACCCTCACAATCCATCCTGGTGACTATATTCACCAAAGTAAAAATGGGGGCATCTCTCACAAGAGTGCAGTAATAAACACCTGACCAGTTTGACCTCTTCTTATCCTATCCAAAACTAAAGCACAGATAATGACATTGTGAGTGCTAATCAGTACTACTGTACTATGAGACTTCACCAAAGTAATAATGCTCCCCAGGGTGTGTCTATTACAAGTGGTTGAATGATGCTGGGTGTGATTTAACCTAGAAGTAGATGGCGATGGGGACCAGGATGACATCACTCGAGCAAGGAAAAGGTGAGTAGTGCAAAAACAGCCTTTGAAAGGGGAGGGTGAGAACTAAAGAACTAAGAATAACCTGAGTTCTGCTTTAAAATTGAACTCCAGGTATGATTTTTATTTGCAGTTACATTCAGTCCAGTTAGGATCAATGTAAGTATATATATTCCATGCCTGGCCAATCCTTGTGGCAGCAGAGAATCGCTGTACTATCCACCATGATCCTCACTGTCTTCCAGGTCCTGTGCCGACCTGCTGCCATGCTGCATAGTTAACACAGGGTTGCTCAGCTGGCACAGGCATCATTGTTCAATGATTGCAAAGTGGTCTCTGATTGGACAAGATAAAGAGGCAGGGTGGTGACATCACAATCTCCACCTTTTCCAATCACAGCACTTTTTGCAGTCATTGAGAAAAATGCAAGGCATTCTCTAAATGGCTCCCTAACAAGCGAGTGACCCCTGTGATCACTATGCAGCAGGGTAGCTGCTTATGACCCAAAAGACCCAAAAGAAAGCGGTGATCACTGCACTGTAGTAGTGGTGACTACTACAGTTACTCTTCACTTCCACAGGGATCCCACAATTATGAATTATGTATACTAAATGATCCAATGAATGAAGGGGGGAATCATTTCCCCCTGATGAAGTCACATGACGCTGCGACGATATGCGTAGGGGAGGGGCTCTGACGTCACGGCGTTGCATCGGAGAGGTTTGGCGATTCCAGCAGAAACAGAAGCAGAGGCAGACAGAGAGGCAAAGGCAGAGTATAACATATATTTACTGCAGATCTTGTATCCACTGCTGACCTGTATCACAAGAGTGCCATATACTGCTGTGTATCATCGCACCTGGCAGCAATAAATCACTTTTTCATACAAGGATAAGGCACCATGGTCTTTCTTCTTTGTTTCATTTGATATATATTCCCCATACTGGTGAAAGGAGTATACGAGGAAGAGGTGTCCCCAGGAGGGGAAATAGGAGATACCTATAGAGCCTGTTTATACTCATGCATGAGCAGCTGCATATGGAAAAAGAGGAGAGCACAGGAGGATTCCATTAGATCTATATTATCTCTGGAACATCTTGCTTATGAGCACTATCCCATCAATCCTGGAAGGATTAAAAGTCTATTTGCCTAAATAAATTTGGGCAAATATTAAGGTGAGCGCATATTGAGATCACACGGCACCTGGAGGGAGGAAAAGGAATTCACCTGCACACTTGCACATATTTATAAGAGACTTTATTTATGCACTTTATTAATTTATGTACAGCCACTTATGTATTTGCACAATATTGATTAATTGATCACATGTGATATGTAATCACCACAGATTATTAACTTGATTAATTTATAATATTATCTTATTTATTTTTTATAAGTCACAGATATTTATTTGATATAATATTATTTATGTATCAACTGAAGCACTTTTAGTGTATTTATAAGTGTAAGAATATTTTAAGTTAAGGATTTTAAATAGGAGCGCGGCACTATAAATTGATTTATGAATTAATTTATATAATTGGAAAAAAAAAAAAAAAAAAAAAAAAGGTTACAACAGTAATAAGTAAACATACCTTCCTATCTATTTACTAAAGCTAGCAGCATAAGGATTAAAAATAGTTAACATTGAGTGAAAGAGTTTTGTTCTGCCTTTAGTATACATAATTCATAATTGTGGGATCCCTGTGGAAGTGAAGAGTAACTGTAGTAGTCACCACTACTACAGTGCAGGTGTTTATTACTGCACTCTTGTGAGAGATGCCCCCATTTTTACTTTGGTGAATATAGTCACCAGGATGGATTGTGAGGGTGAAAAGTGGTCTCTGATTGGACAAGATAAAGAGGCAGGGTGGTGACATCACAATCTCCACCTTTTCCAATCACAGCACTTTGTGCAGTCATTGAGAAAAATGCAAGGCATTCTCTAAATGGCTCCCTAACAAGCGAGTGACCCCTGTGATCACTATGCAGCAGGGTAGCTGCTTATGACCCAAAAGAAAGCGGTGATCACTGCACTGTAGTAGTGGTGACTACTACAGTTACTCTTCACTTCCACAGGGATCCCACAATTATGAATTATGTATACTAAAGGCAGAACAAAACTCTTTCACTCAATGTTAACTATTTTTAATCCTTATGCTGCTAGCTTTAGTAAATAGATAGGAAGGTATGTTTACTTATTACGGTTGTAACCTTTTTTTTTTTTTTTTTTTTTTTTTTTTCAATTATATAAATTAATTCATAAATCAATTTATAGTGCCACGCTCCTATTTAAAATCCTTAACTTAAAATATTCTTACACTTATAAATACACTAAAAGTGCTTCAGTTGATACATAAATAATATATATCAAATAAATATCTGTGACTTATAAAAAATAAATAAGATAATATTATAAATTAATCAAGTTATAATCTGTGGTGATACATATCACATGTGATCAATTAATCAATATTGTGCAAATACATAAGTGGCTGTACATAAATTAATAAAGTGCATAAATAAAGTCTCTTATAAATATGTGCAAATGTGCAGGTGAATTCCTTTTCGTCCCTCCAGGTGCCGTGTGATCTCAATATGCGCTCACCTTAATATTTGCCCAAATTTATTTAGGCAAATAGACTTTTAATCCTTCCAGGATTGATGGGATAGTGCTCATAAGCAAGATGTTCCAGAGATAATATAGATCTAATGGAATCCTCCTGTGCTCTCTTTTTTCCATATGCAGCTGCTCATGCATGAGTATAAACAGGCTCTATAGGTATCTCCTATTTCCCCTCCTGGGGACACCGCTTCCTCGTATACTCCTTTTACCACCAGTATGGGGAATATATATCAAATGAAACAAAGAAGAAAGGCCATGGTGCCTTATCCTTGTATGAAAAAGTGATTTATTGCTGCCAGGTGCGATGATACACAGCAGTATATGGCACTCTTGTGATACAGGTCAGCAGTGGATACAAGATCTGCAGTAGATATATGTTATACTCTGCCTTTGCCTCTCTGTCTGCCTCTGCTTCTGTTTCTGCTGGAATCGCCGAACCTCTTCGATGCAACGCCGTGACGTCAGAGCCCCTCCCCTACGCGTATCGTCACAGGGTCATGTGACTTCATCAGGGGGAAATGATTCCCCCCTTTATTCATTGAATCATTTAGTGTACATAATTCATAATTGTGGGATCCCTGTGGAAGTGAAGAGTAACTGTAGTAGTCACCACTACTACAGTGCAGTGATCACCGCTTTCTTTTGGGTCTTTTGGGTCATAAGCAGCTACCCTGCTGCATAGTGATCACAGGGGTCACTCGCTTGTTAGGGAGCCATTTAGAGAATGCCTTGCATTTTTCTCAATGACTGCAAAAAGTGCTGTGATTGGAAAAGGTGGAGATTGTGATGTCACCACCCTGCCTCTTTATCTTGTCCAATCAGAGACCACTTTGCAATCATTGAACAATGATGCCTGTGCCAGCTGAGCAACCCTGTGTTAACTATGCAGCATGGCAGCAGGTCGGCACAGGACCTGGAAGACAGTGAGGATCATGGTGGATAGTACAGCGATTCTCTGCTGCCACAAGGATTGGCCAGGCATGGAATATATATACTTACATTGATCCTAACTGGACTGAATGTAACTGCAAATAAAAATCATACCTGGAGTTCAATTTTAAAGCAGAACTCAGGTTATTCTTAGTTCTTTAGTTCTCACCCTCCCCTTTCAAAGGCTGTTTTTGCACTACTCACCTTTTAGCAACACAATTAAGTGGGTTTGTGTAAGTGCCAGCGAACCTAGTACACTATACTAACAGACAAGAAATAATAGTTTACTGAATACTCATTCATAATAGCACACAAGTAGTCACCTTTTAAAGTATAACCTTTTTTTTTAACATTTTTTTCAGTTGCTTGCTTTTTCAGTGTCTGACCTGGGATGATGATGTCATACATCCCAGTAGCCTTCATGGACATTTTTTCTTTCATCTGGAGGAGGGGTTTTCTCAGCTAATTGCACCCTCCTGCCTTCATGCCTGAGCTAAGGGCAGATGATTACCAGTAAGTAAATGCTACATGAATCATCTGCCCTTACCCAAGATAGAAATGCTAGGGGTGTGTTTTTCCAAATTATTTCTCTACAAAAAAAAAAAGCATGGGGACATGGGTGGATGGAGGAGTTTGCTTTAATTAAAAATTCATCACAATTTTCCCTAGTTTTTCTCAGAGTGTAATTCCATTTTTCTTTGAACCTAGCTGGACCAATGTAACCTAAACAAAAAGCATACCTGGAGTTGAGCATCAACCATTGTGTATGGAAAAGACATTTTCTGCACATTCATTTTAATGAATAAACATCTAATGATAGATGTTCTTTAATTCAATCACATTTATATAGCTATTTGTGGCCATGCTAATAACAGTGAACCCTGTGATCTCACGAACATTCCAAAAAGCAGCAAATGGTGTTATAAATACAGTTTAAGTCATTTAATACAGAACATGTCAGGATTTCTGTCACTGCTGGCGTTGATTAATTACCCCCTTAGGGTCACTGTTAATGTGGTATAGTCAGGACATTTTTTTATTAGCATTATTGCTGTTTTATTTAAAGTGGAACGTCACTCTCTCAATCAACATGGACTAATATGAATCCTTATCCTGCTAGCATTAGTAAATAGATAGGAAAGTATATCATATTTACTTGTTTTAACCCCCCTGGAGGTATTCCCGAGTGTAGCTCGGGGTAAAGTTTCAGCACCACAAGTGGTAACTCCGAGCTACACTTAGGAATACCTTGCAGCGTTGCTCCGGGATCTGTTGTTCTCTTACCTTGTCCTGCACTCCCGCGATGTCCCTCCTGCAGTGTCCCTCCTCCGGCATATGCCAGCATCTTTCATCTGGGTTCCGTCCCCTGCGAGCGTCGGGACGGACAGGGGATGGAACGGCGGGAAATTTGAAAATGACAAAAAGTGACATTCACTAAATTCACTAAAATAACATAGTAAAACATTACTGTATCAAACCATTTCACATACATTTTGTCCCTACTGCTTTGTCCTGTGCCCTGCCTGCATTTTTACTGTTCTTTCTGCCTTGAAACTGAGAAATGTCCATGGTGTCCAAAAAGCGTCCCTTTAGGTCAAAATCGGTTTTAGACCACCTAGAGAACAGCGATAGTAAATCAGAACCACTTGCAGAATTGAGTGATAATGATTTGTGGGGAAATTCATCATCAGTGAACACTGAAAACGATTTTGCGACTTTGCTGAGCGATGTGCGAACTTGGCGCTATATTTCAAATTTCAGTGTTTTTGGTTGATTATATTATTGAATTAAATGTATTATTATTATATTATTATTTTTCATGATTATTTATTAAATTATAATGTATGATTTTGTGTTGCAAATTGTAACATACCCGGGATGTTTACTAGACTCTTGTTCGGGCAGATTTCAGTGAGTTATTCCTAAAAATGACAGGCCTACAGTAAAAAAACGACATATTTCCATGCAAAAAAATGTACCGCTTTGAGCACAGAAATATGGACATAATCAGACCGCTAGGGAGGTTAAACTGTTTCCACATTTCATGCCTAGGCAAATGATGTCATTCATCCCAGGAGTCTTCAGGAGGGGAGGAGGGGTTTTCTCAGCTAAGCACTTCTTCCTGCCGGCATGCCTGAGCTAAGGACAGATGGATTCCAAGAAGTAAATGCTACATGAATCATCTGCCCTTACTCAAGATGGCCACCGCTAGAAATACTAGGGGGTGTTTGTCAAAAGTGATTTCTCAGCAAAATAAAGCATAGAGACATGGATGGGCTGATCAACAGGTTAAATGTGTGCCTAATAATGTTTAGTGTGTATACTGTGTGCTGTTTTACTAAGTAATGTTTACCAACACAGAGCTCTCTCGTGTCATTCCCTGAGCCGATCAGCTGGTTCCAGGCCATAAATTATTGCCCGGGACCCGCTGATTGGCTTGTGCTGCAGCGAATGACAGCTCAGTCTCCTGAGTCACTGTGCACATGCGCGAGCAGATCCAGAAAAAAGCCGCAACACACATGTACGTGATTGTGCCTGTACGAGCCAACCTGCCACAGTAAATGTTCTGCGATGGGTCAGCAAGCGGGTAAAGGAGAAGTAGGGCCAAAGCTCCTTTGGCCCTATGTCTCCTGTGGATCACAGGAGTGCACTTCATCTGCAGTCCTGTGACCTGTTTTTAGACCGACATCAGGCTAAAGCCCCCCTGTTGGCTGTTTGCAGAGCCGGTCCAGACTCTAGGAAGATCCTGACTTAGATGTTGGGATTCACACAGATATCTGACCTGCAGTTGGCTCAGCCACTCCTGCCCCCTCCACCCAGTGTTCCAGTGAGCACTAGAGGGGCAGAGCAGAGAGCCGGTGACTGACAGTCACCGCCCTCTGCACAGTGTAGACCAAGAACCAAGCGTACAGCCATCTTTGATCGCTCAGTTCTCAGTTGTAGAAGTGACGGGGGACAGATGCAGCATCAGACCAATGCTACATCCACCTAAGTGCAGCAAACTCGTTTTTGGGCATTTTTTTACAGCAAAAATTTTATTAAAAATGCAGAAAAACGTGGCCAAACGCTAATGAAAAAACGCTAATATTTTCAAAAACAAAAAACTCACGTTTTTAACCTGACTTTACACAGCTAACACTGCCAGTGTTTATTAAAACTCCTCGTGTGCATGGAGCCTAAATAGTGCGGTGTGACTATTCTTAAAGTGATTCTAAAAGTTTTTTTTTTGTAAAATAACAAACATGTCTACACTTACCTGCTCTGTGCAGTGGTTTTGCACACAGCAGCCTGGATCCTCCTCTTCTTGGGTCCCCTGCAGGCTCTCCTGGCTCCTCCTGTCTGTCGGGTGCCCCCACAGCAAGCAGCTTGCTATGGGGACACCCGCTGCTCCATGTATCCATTCACATATGGAGCCATGACTTGGCCCCGCCTCTCTCTCTTCTCATTGGCTGACTGGCTGTGATTGACAGCAGCAAGAGCCAATGGCTCTTGTTTGCTGTCTCAGCCAATGAGGAGGCAGAGTCCTGGGACATCGCTGGATCTCGATGAGGCTCAGGTAAATATTGAAGGGGCAAGGGGCGATACTGCACACGGACAGTTTTTAACCTTCATGCATAGAAGTGCAGTACAAAGCTGGTACGGTGGCGAGCACAAGTATTGTCCCGCAGCCACCAAGAATTTGCTCATAGGCCCGTAGAGCCCCAAGTGTCCTTCCGGATGTGCTTGCAAATCCCGATTGGCAGCCCATAAATTCTGCAGCACCCGTACTTCCCCCATTCACTGCCCAACCCGGAATTCAGGTGGAAACAGCAAATTTAACTACTTCCCTTGATTTTTTTGGTGCTGTTTTTCACGGAATATCTGTATGCATTGATTGTGGATCAAAGCAATTTATATGCACAACAATTTATCGCCGCCAACCCAAATTCAAACCTTGCCAGACTATTCGCATGGAAACCCATTACGGTTTCCGAATTAAAATTTTTTTTTGCGCCTAACCGTCAACATGGGCATTGCTAGAAAAAAATTAATTGCGGCTATATTGGTCCACAGACCAGATTCATCATATGCCAATGTTCTCTGCTGCCATGGCCAGGCATAGATATGAGAATATAATGCGTTTTATGCATTTTAGTGACGACACACTCTGTCGTCCCTGAATTTGATCGGCTCCACAAAATTTGGCCCCTCATAAATCACCTTAACCAAAAATTTGTAGATGTCTATACTTTGTTGCCACAAGTTTTTGGAAAATGAAGAAAGAAAACAAAAACATATTTTTTCTTTTTTTTTATATATTTCAAAACCTTGTGAGGAAAAAATGAGATCTGCAAAATACTCACCATGCCTCTTTTTAAATTCCTTGGGGTATCTTTTTTTCCAAAAAGGGGTCATTTGGGGGGTTTGGTGCTATCCTGACATTTCAGGGCCTTCAAAATTGTGATAGGTAGTGAGGAAGTGAAATGAGGAAGTTGAAAGAGAACCGAGGGCTGGGCCCACAGATTCAGAGGGTACACAATGCCACACAGACACAGACAGCGGTTCTTTTACAACAATTACGTTTACTGAATAGTTATAGTGAACAAGTAGTTGAGCATACATAAACAGAATGATAACAGCACATAACCATACAGTAAGAATAATACTGTCTAACACTAACCCCGTACTTTCAAACTATTCCTCAACGTCCAGAAAGCAGCCTGGCTGCACCTGAATGTTCCTGAGCAAGATATAACGTTGGGGTGCACCCTAAGTATTGCGTAATACTATTTGTAATCCAAAGGAAAGTGGAGTATGTCTCTTGTAGCTTTCTGGTATATCCAAAATGTCACGGAACACGTGTGGTGCGATGTGCTGCGGCAAAGCCGCACTTATAGTTCCTTGGCAGGCTCTTGTTGCTTTTTCCTGATCCACTGGTCCACTCCAGAACCGGACCATACAGTCACTTTTTTTTCCGGTCTCGTCGCGGTGAAAACTTCCTAGGTGCCGTCACCAGACTCCACTGTGAGCTGTAAATCCTCTTCCAGGCTCCACACAGATTCTCCAGACATCCTCAGCATATACCAGCAAGACACAGACCCCCTCACTTCCTGCTCTCTACTGGAACTCCTCCCCTTCCCAGAGAGTTTGTGAAGCAGTAAGTAATTTCTTAATTGCAGCCTCAAACCTGCATTTACAGTTCACTATAACCCTTCTGAGGGTCCTACTCGGCCCCTAAATTAGCATTCATTAAACTTTATAAGGTAAATAAGCATTCGTTTTTGTCTTAGTAAACCTCAATGCAAAATCGATTCTTGTACTTTGCTGCCATCTACTGACCAAAGAGCATATTGCAGTTTAACATTGCACATCAGTATTTATCCACGCCCCACACCCTTACAAAGTTACGCACCTTCAGGCTTTGAAAGTGGTCATTGGATTTCAGGCTCCTGTATGTGGCTAGGCTCCCAAAAAGTCTCACACATGTGGTATCCCCATACTCGGTAGAAGTAGCAGAATGTATTTTGGGGTGTAATTCCATATATACCTATGGCTTGTGTGAGCAATATATCATTTAAGTGACAACTTTGTGTAAAAAAAAAAAATGTTTTTGTAATTTTCCAAAAACGTGGAAAAAAAAAAAATCTTCCATGGACTTAATATGTCTCTCAGCAGATAGCTTAGGATGTCTACCTTTCAAAAGGGGTCATTTGGGGTGTTTGTACTATCCTGGTACTTTAGCACCTAAAGAAATGTGATGGGCAGTCAGAAAGTAAAAGCTGTGTAAATTCCATTATCTATACCATAGTTTGTAGATGATATAACTTTCACACAAAGCAATTAATATACACTTATTGGGATTTTTTTAACCAAAAAGATGTAGCAGAATACATTTTGGCCTAAATTTATGACACAATTTGAGTTTTTTGGATATTTTTTTATGACAGAAATAATAAAATATTTTTTTTTTCCAAAATTTTCGAGCTTTTTTGTTTATAACGCAAAAAATAAAATGTGCACAGGTGATCAAATACCACCAAAAGAAAGCTCTATTTGTGAGAAAAAAAGGACGTAAATTTAATTTATTTACAGCATTACATGACCGCGCAATTGTCAGTTAAACTAGTGCAGCGCTGTATAGCAAAAAATTGCATAAATTACAGTATCTATACCATAGTTTGTAGACACTATAACTTTCACACAAAGCAATCAATATATACTTATTAGGATTTTTTTTACCAAAAACATGTTGCAGAATACATTTTTTCCTAAATGTATGACTAACTTTGAGTTTACTATATATTTTTTATAGCCGAAAGTAAAAAATATCTTTTCTTTTTCAAAATGTTCGGGTTTTTTTTGTTTATAGCGCAAAAAATAAAAAGTGCACAGGTGATTGAATACCACCAAAAGAAAGCTCTATTTGTGTGAAAAAAAGGACGTAAATTTCGTTTGGGTACAGCATTGCATGACCGCGCAATTACCAGTTGAAATAGTGCAGCTCTGAATAGC